TCAAATTCTTAATCAAATTCTAGCCTACTAAGTGCTAGGTCTTGTATCTTTTATCTGATTTGACTCTAATCGATATTGAACCAAGTTCCCTGTTCGGTACACAAACTAACATCACACTCTATTCCTATCACACACATACATGGGCAAATACCCTTTGAATGTATACTGCTGAAGACATTCCAAGTGATTATTTCCACCACATTCTTTATGCTTTTTCTCCATGTCATTATCACACGGAGTGGTGCTACCAGAAGTTCATGATGAGGAAAGGGCATTTTAAAAAATGACAACTCTGCAGCAAATCATGTTCTTGTTCAGTTTTAGAATGTTAAACTGTACCCAGGAGAGCTGCTTGAGAAAGGAAACCTTAAATATTGTGCTCTACAAAGAGTGTGCTGAAGCAATAATGTTTCATAAAACATTAACATTAGCACTAAAATATTCAAAACATTCCTGGATTTGCTCCATCAGAACTTACACCCTGGTGTAGCACAAGTTTTTATCCATAGTTTTTAAACAGCTTTGTCATTTCTGGTAAAGTCTGAGCACTTATGATGGGAAGCTAACCAGCCACTTTTGGAAAGAATCGTGTAATTTCAAGCAAAGTGGACAAAGTTGATTTCTGTGAATTCAGCCAATATTTTTCACATGTGCATGTTTCTAAAAGAATATTTAGTGCAACGATGTACTTTAAAACAAACTTGTGTGTTTCTAGACTCCACTAAGGAGAAGCAGATATTGTAAAATGATCTCCCCCTCCCCCCAGCTAAATATCAGAGATATTATAAGAATGGTGAGCAAGTATTCCCAAGTAGTAATCAGACCTCAGCAGAATTCTACCCCTTACTGGACAACAGACTGTTTAATTTGTCATATTCAAAGGAGACACATGACCCTGCAACTCTTACAAAAATGGAAAGGAAAAAAATTCCCACGCGAACTGTTTGTTCCTCTAATACCCAATATTCTTTTCAAGAAAGGTACGGAGTAGGATCCATAAATATATTTAAGCCATTTATATAGGTCAGCTAATATGGGTGATGTCTTTCCAAACATCATATGAAGCAGCATCAGCATCTGACTAAGCACCTTCAGCATTCTGCTAACGAAGTTACGGTACATAAGAACATTTTAATCTAGCAGAAAGAACAATAATAGATCTGACTGCTGGGCCGATAATCTTCTTATCACACCCTGTGAAACCTAACTCTAATATTTGACTGAGCCTCCATTACTAGGCAGCCCATTCTCAAAAGGCCAACAATGGAAAGGGAATGAAGTGCAATGTGCAAGTACCTCCATATCTACATAAAAGAGATTAGAGGCGACAGCGTTCCATTTTACAGCTCAATCATATTGTGTTAGCATGCGCTTATCCGAGCGCGGACGAAATTGAAAGAGAAATAAAAAAAAGAGTCAGGCAGATAGGAACCAGAAAAGCGAGGCATGAGCAATTTCCAAGGATATAAAAGGATGCTAATGGCGGGGCCCTGTCATTCTTAAGAAGGGCTATTAGGGCACCATCATCTGTTTTTGTGCCCTTATGCTCCTCTAACTAAAGTCAAGCATTTCCTAATGCCATTTTGATCTTTTTCTTCTTGAGATAAGGCATGGTCATGTTTCATAACAACACACTTTCCATTTATTTGATTTATTAACGTAAGTCAACTAATTCTATAGACTGATAAAAGTCATTCCTTCCACTATAGTCTTTCATTCAATTCTTTACTTTTTTATTTGGCAAAATCAAACTATGGAGTTTATGCCTAAAAGTTGAGAAGAGCTCTGGAATTCACCTTTGGAGCTGAGCTTAATTTTCAATTGAGCAACCAATTATAAAACCAAGATAGGAAGAGAATAAGAAAAAAGATGGAGTTTGCAATTTTCTGAAGACTTACAGCAATGATCTTGTGCTTTATACTGAGGAAGGTGTTGAAATTAAACAATTAATAGTTAAGTTTTAAGCTAGCATATTAAGTTGCAAATAGACTTAAATTCTGAATCCACCGTTGTTATTGGGACTGTTACCCTATGATTATTATCACAGTTCTACTTTTTATCAAAGTATAGTATAAATGTGTGTGTGTGTGTGTGTGTGTGTAAAATATACATAATACATTTTCACTTTTACATCCCTATAATACTTTATTTCCTTGAACATTCTCTAATATATTGGTGGTCTTGACCAGTGCCTTCAACTGTAGTGTGACACATGACCCTTGCACAATTCAAGGAAGTCATATTCCTTCTCCTAAAAAAAAAATATTCTATGGCATTTCAGCAATGACTGTGCTACAGCAGAAAAGCTCTAGAATGGAGAGTCAAGAAAGCCAGGTTATAGGCCCTATTCTCACATTCATCAACCATGTGACTTTGGGCAAATCATTTAATCACTTAGGCCCTTAAACTTCCAAAACCAGGAAATTACAAATTGTAGAGTAAAATTACTTTTTGTCTATAATCCCATTCATCTCTAATGGTATATCTTTATTTTTCAATTAAAAGGGAATTCTTGTTTTGTTACCTTGAAATTTTATGACCCCCCTTTAGTTCAGGGCATCCTGAAAATATAACAAAATCACAGCTGGAGATCATAAATCTCAAATCCATCAATAATACCCTCACAAATCTACACAAGTACCAATCTTTGACTCAAAATCAACAGCATTTACTCATGGTTAATGTAATCTCTTTTCCCAAACCCTCATTCCTCTTTGCAACCAATCTTTAGAGCAGAGGTATGAAAATCACATGCTGTTGGAGTGGAACCTCAATCAGATTAAAATGTAACTGGGAAATGTTTTAACAAAAAATTTTTTTTAAAATACCATACAACACAGATAACACTAATTTGTGGTTTCCTAAGTCAGTATGTGGCCTGCAGGGGTCCATTTCTACTTCAGTTTCACACCACTGCTGTGGTAAGAGTTTAACCTTTCCGCAAAGCTTAATTTTTTGTCATCAGAAAACAAAAGGAAACTTTTTTCATTTTTATTTTTTACTTAACTGAGAAAGATCAAAGATTTCTGGATGGCTTCCTACTATGCCTATGGAATAACAAATGAGAGATTTAATTTTGGTTCTTCTTTAAATTGACTGACTTTACGCAGTGGGACTGTCTTTCGCATATTTTTGTATCCCCCAAATTGACAACAGTGTGTGGCACATAATAGACTCTTAATAAATGTTTACTGACTATTGGACACTTGGCTTCTTTTGGCATTCTATCACCAAAGCCTTTGGCCAAATGGTGTTCTTACCTTCTTCTGACTTCAGCGTAGCTCACAAAGATTCTTGGTGGAAACAAAACAAAATCCAAAAACCTCTTTGCTGTCTCTCATTTCCAATTATTTTATATGTAGGACTTATGTCATTAGCCATACTTCAGTATTTGACAGGTTTATCTTTTGTCTTGGGGGACTCAATAACTCTTAAGGCCCCATCAAACTTCTCTCTCCTTCTTGTATGAAAGCCACAGATACGCAATTTCAAAACAAATGCCTGAGCAGTCTTATGCCTGAAATCTCATGCAGACTCTACAATCATGAAGTTGGCATCATCAAAAAAGAGCAAACTCACAAGCTCACCTATTTAACTAGTTTTGACTTAATTTGAGGTGCTTTATTAGCAAACAGTGTAAGACAAAGTAGCTGGTATAATACAGAGTGATGTTTAAATTAGTCTACAATTTGCTTGGGCTCATCTAGAACTGCAACGAACAAAGCCATTCAGAAATGTCAGCTGTGTTCCTAACCACTGTAACAAATTGTTGCCTGAATGCTGCACACCTAATGACTTCAAATTAGCTTCACTGCGATATTGCCTGACAGTTCGTTACGACTGTTAGCAACATAGCTGGCGTATCATGACCAATAAATTGGTTTCAGTGTGGGCTGGGAAAGGGACTTCCATCAATTTGATTAAAGAAATTACTGTAGCATTCAAAGCATAAAGACAAACTAGTTTAAGGAGACAGAAATAAGTTAACTGCACCAGAAAAACATTGCTCATGATTCAAAAGCTTGTTTATAAACCATTTGTGGTACAAAGTTCAAGGGAAAAAAAAAAAGACCATTTGGGTCCAATATTGACTATCTCTGAAATTGTAGTTACATGCTTTTCTACTGAGGTAATGTTTCATGTGAGAAAAAATGGAAAATTTAAAATTTTCAATTCTCAAATAACATCAGGAAAAATTAAATGTTCATATAATTCTTTATGAATTAAGCATGTCTTTAAATATATTATCCATAAATTGTAATACTTATAGAAACTAAACATTTCATCAGCAAACCCGAACCCTGAGTGAGTGTGTGTGTATGCATGTGTGAGTGAACAAATGAGAGGGAGAGAGGGAGTGAGAGAAAGAGAGAGAGAGAGAGAGAGAGAGAGAGAGAGAGAGAGAGAATAAATGCTCACTACAGATGGCACAGAGAATGAAAGAGGGTAAAATTTAAACTATTGCTAGAAAGTCATAACCTTTTTTGAATCACAAAGTAGCTAGGTTCAATGACTCCAAATCCTATATCAAGGAAATTTTTAAATGATATTTTGCTTTTTTGTTGCATTCTACCAAACTTTCTATCAGAAAAAAAAGTATTTAATTACCATAAAATGAAGTTGGTATCAAGGTATCAATGTATTTTAGCAAAACAGCAAAAGCTCTTAATTAAAGAATCAGTAAAAAAGGTGAGAACATTTATAATTTGTTATCATTAAAAGAAAGCCATCAAATAAAAATAATTTTATGAATTAATAATCACACAATATTTTATAAGTTCTGAAAGAATCATTGGAGTCTTCTTTCTTTTTATATCATAAAAAATCTGAAAATGGTAATTTTGAACATGCATACCTACTGAGCAACATGAAGAAATATATAAATCACAACACCACACAATCTTTTTTAAAGTCTAAAAGATTCTTTTGTTTTTGAAAAGAGTTTGAAACATCAAAAATGAGGGTTTTGTCTTGTTTTGTTTTTGCCGCTGTTATTGTACCTGGAATATGCTTAGCCCATCCAATGATGACCACCAATTCTCTGTCTGCCAGATCACAGAGGGTAGTGAGAGCTTTGATGTCACTGTCTGGAACAGTAGGGTCAGGCATGGCATAGATCTTCTCTGGTTCAGCCACCAGCAAATGTGAGACAATCTTGTTATCTGCAGGAACGGACCAGAGCACTACAACATCACTAGTAGTATCATCCTCTTTTTTCTCAACCATAAAATATTCTGTTTTCCTAAACTAATAGTGAATAAGGCATTAGCTTACAGTATTCACATTCATTCTGGAAATATATCTCTTCTAAGAAGACCTTAACATGACCCAATCAAAAACTGTGCCAATCAATAAGGAATGGAATAAAACCAATTCTTGGTCTCCTTGCTGAAGAATGAGATTCTGTGTCTTATAATAAAATTACTTCTTGCAAATAGGTAAAAAGAAAGTGCTGTCTCATATGTGTTTTGATTATCAAGAGACTGTTATGCCATGGGGGCTAAGAATTATAATATTTTTAAAGGAATGCCCAAAAGCAAACTAATAAAATCTATGATATAATGTAGGATAGAGGTGACTGCCCATGAAAATCATAGATATCAAAGGCATTGTCTTAATTCCTTTAAAATGGGCAAAGGTCATAGTTCTTCTGCCTGGCAGAATGACTGATTATATATAACCTCATCTCTTTGAGATGCACTAAATAGGAGACTGGTTTCCCCCTGTATCATAATTCCCCCCTGAATGAACAAATGAACACGAACACACACACACACACACACACACACACACACACACACGCACGCACGCGCACGTTTCCCAAATACAGCCAATACCAGAATGAGAAAGCATTAAAAAAAAAAATCCCTCCTTAAATGTTCACTTATTTCTTCAGTTCTGGTGTCCATTTCGTTAATTCTGTTAAGCCCTTCTTTTGTCTAATATTCTCTCTCTTTCATATTTATGCATCTGAAAGTTGTGATATATGTTTAAAAAAATCCTACATAAAATACACCAGAACCAAATGGAAAGCATCACATCAAATGTGTTTTATTGCTTTGGGGCATGTGAGAGTTTATAGAAGGGGTTGTAAAGCCTTGCTAACTGAATAATTTCTGGCTGGCCCAATTTTCATTCCCTTATGAGAACCTCGGCATCTTTTCCATGTGTGGTTTATATTGATTTCAAAGGAGATATGAATGGGTTAGAAAAAACATGGATATTTGATTATTACTGCCTTAACTGAAAGCCTGAGCATAACTATCATTTATAAACATTTTGTTTTTGAAACAAAAAGGACACCTATTATTTCTTTTCATTTTATTGAAAATATATGCTTTTCCTAAAATAAAGGATATGTATATATTTTCTTTAGCTATAACATCCTCCCTCTGTCACAGAAATAAAAGGCAGATTTTCCAAATTCATAATCAACTTTTCTTAGTCATGATAGTGCAAATCATCATAAATATGGACATCACCAGGACTGCATTTATAGAAGAGAACACTTAAGATAAACTAGGACTCTGGTTTAGTTTGTGAAGAAAAATAACTATTTTCCAGTTCATGTTTTTCTTTCTTTGTTTTTTTTTATTCCCCCCACCCCCATAATTTGAAGAAAATATTATTCTATTTGAATCACAGATTTTACAGAGAAAACTAGTTGTTTTCAGATGATATAGGGACATACTATATATTTTCAATTATATTTGGAAAATTTCAGCTTTAATTGTTCTGACAATATAATATGAAATCTTTGGGCAGGTTATTATATTCTATGTGTCAGAGAAAAAAAACCAATAAAAGGTAAAAAGGAGAGGGGATGAAATTCTAGTCATTTCATTACAGGGAAAAATACTACTTGTATCAAAGGACATTTACATTGAAGGGATAGAGAAATTTAGTTTGTGTTTAAAAAGGCCCATCATTCAGAAAATTGAATAGCCATGAGCACTGTTTCTAGGTAAATCTTATTTAATGTTTCCTAATTAGAATCAATAGAACCCAATTTTCATTCCTGTGCCTTTGTACTGCACAAACGATCAGTCAGGGTCCAGAAAATCTCCCAGGCTACTTTCTCAACAAAACAGATTCCCTGTCTCTTGACACTTATCTGACACAATCTGAAAATTAAGTTTTATAAATGTTTGTTACAAAAACACACTAATTGGATGAACTAAGCAAAATTAACATACAGGCCTTTAGATAATGAGTAATGATTTATTAGAAGGGTAGTTTATTTCAGACAAATGAGGCTTGCTGAAATTGCCATAAGCTTCTTAAAGGTATTGCATCCCGTTACTTCCCAGGATTCTCAGCATTGCACAAGGATCCTGGGAAATTCCCTTATGATTCTGACTTTAACATGGGCACGTGTTAGTTTTTCTTTCAGAAGGGAAACTATCAACGATTTTTAAGTGCATGCCAACATAAAATAAATGAGAAATAGAAAATCTGTACGATACTGACTCCAGAAAAACTAGAGCTGTAATTAAACTAAGCATTAGCGTTTATTAAATTTTATTGTATTATCAGAAAGTTTTTATTATGATGCATAAAATCTGCTTAATGTAGCCCCAGACTATATTTACAGAATGCTAACAGCTTACAGAAGCTGAAGAAAAGATGCCAGATTGGACAACTGAAGGTATAATCAACATAATGTTTTTTGGAAAGGCATAAGGAAACTATGCCATATGTTCCCTTAAGCTACAATTTCATGTAAAACTGGTTGTTTTTCTTTCGACATAGCTAAAAATGCCTTTCTGCTTATAAATCGAGGTCTGTTTTATCTGCTCCAAAGACTTCCAGACTCTCCCCAGCAATGTGCACACCAGTGACCCCTCCTGGAGGCTACAGAGTTTGAAGGAAATGCTGGGGAGTGGGGGAGGAAGGGAGAAGAAGAGATGGGGGTTTGTAAAATAGCTTGAATATGATGGTTGAACTGTAGAGACAAACTCTGTAGAATTGTGCTACTTATGGATTTTGCGACTATGACAACTGAACAGGAGAATTCTATGATCAGCTTTCAAAGCATTCTATGACTGTCTGACAGGAATTCTGACTTGGCATCCCAAAACTTGAGGTGTGTTACACTATTTCAATTAATGTATTTTTCAGAGAACTGAAAAAGTTATTGTATTCAATTTATACTGAAGTTACCTTTCATTAATATAACAATAACATTATAAATTGCAACCTGGAATTAGAAAATCATGGGCTCTCTTAAAATATTTCTTAGTGCCCATATGGGCATTTTAAATGGAACTGCCAACCTATGCTTATCATTAGTGTGGAACATTTTTGTCTTAATTTGTTGGTAACTACTGTGTTAACCTTCTATATCTCCAAATTAATGAGGCCCCTAATGTATTTTCATTGGGACGTTGAGCAGTAAAACTCATTTAGTTAGTGAAAACTACAAAAATCACTTTCTTGTGAAATCTGAAACCAGTAACTCCAACGAGCTAATGATCACAGTATGGTTCATTTTATGTCCCACTGAAAATAAAGACAATCTGTAAATGTAAAATTGGCACTGCATAAACTGTGTATTAATATGCTTTAAAAACAAAACTGGAAAAGGTGAGAAACTCACAAAGCTTTTGACACAAAAATTGTAATTAGCTAGATTATATCTTACATTCTCTTTGTGGGAAACTCACTGGTAATAAATGCCATAGTCCTTACACAAAGAGAACTCCTACTAAATAAAGGCAGTGGAGTGGGCTGACACACTAAGTCAAAAGAAAAGCATTTGCATGCTGGGAATTCCAAAATATCTGATGTACTTACATGGCTTTTTGGCTGGCTGAACCAGCTGAGGGTTCAGGTATGGGCTATTCTCTGCATCTATTCTGCGTTTGTACTTCTGGCGACCTCCACGTACTCTATCAAGACGCACCCCTAATGCAAGAAAAAGAGAGACTCTGTTATACTGCTGAGGAAGTAAGCTATCTTGTATAACACAGTGGAGAGGTAAATAAGAAGTATTTGGGGGGTCTCCGGGACAGGGAGAGAAATGCATAGTAATAGAGGGCTTAGGGGACATTGGAAGCTACAGATGAAAAGGATGGTAGCAGAGGTCCACAATAAGATTGTTCTGTTCACTGAGCTGTTTCCCCATCTACACAGAAATTATGATCTAGTAACAGGATGTGGGAGAGCATAAAGTTACATTTTTTTTGTATCAAAGCAATGGTGGTTTATTATTACAATTTTTAGATTCTTGAAGCTGTTGTGCTGACACAGACTACACATAGCAATTTCTATTACCCCTGCAAAACATAGGCATAAGACAAATTTAAACAAGAAGGCAGGTTAGACATGGAAAAACTTAACAGGCCGTTAGATAATCAACCATTAACTCCTTAATATTTCTACCAGCTACTTGGTTAAAAAAAAAAAAACCAAAACTGAAAAATACTAGTACTGTCTACTACTAAAATACAAAACTTATGGGGAAAAGAAATACACTTATCTATGTCTTGGAGCAAATGACTTAAATAGACCCCTTTCTATATAGAATTGGATGGAAAAGAGATCAGTCGACAAAAATAAGGATTACATGGGGGCAGCTAGGTGGTGCAGTGGATACAGTACCAGCCCTGGAGTCAGGAGGACCTGAGTTCAAATCTGGCCTCAGACACTTGATACACACTAGCAATGTGATCCTGGGCAAGTCACTTAACCCCACTGCCTAGCCAAAAAAAAAATCATAGGATTACATCTATGATTTCAGTGAGAAAGCAATACCTGAATGTGCGAACTTGCTCTGATATTCAGGTTGGGAGATTCTTGGCAACTTAGGGTCTGAGAGAGTTCCTTACTTCACTGAAAGGTTAAGTGACTTCTCCAGGGTAACACACAGCTAGCATGTTCAGAAATGAGACTTGAAACCAGGTCTTCCTGTCTCCAAGGTTGGCTCTCTATTCACTAGGCCAAAGCGCTTTATTGCTTTTCATCAGAGAGAAAGAGGAAAAAAAGAACCCTGGACCTCTGGGGTCTAAGGAGGGAGTTGCTAAAGCGAGTGAGGCAACATAAAGGGATGGAGAACGGAAGAACAATCTTGGACAAGTAACTTCAGGTCACATGGCCTGAATTTTATCAACTGTAAAATAAGGGGATTGGATTAGATGCTCTGCTGTTAAGTACCTTTGTAACTCTAAACATAACAATTAAGAGTTGGAAGGGGAAAGTCATATATTCTGAACTTCACAATTGTGGCTGCATGTATACAGTAACTGAATACAACATCAGTAGGACCGAAGACCTAAAGAGGCTAGGTATATGATTAGGGTGTTGCAGAAAACAACAGGCTAGACTGAGTTGAAGTAGGGACACTTTTTTTTTTGGTAGTATTGTCATTTTTATTATACTGGCATAGCATAGTCATGAGCATTGAATATTTCTACAGTGATTAAAGTTGATTGTTATTTTTTTCCAAATGTTTAATTTTTTTTCCAACTACATGTGAAAACATTTTAACATTTTTCAAATTAAGTTACAAATTCTTTTCCTCTCTCCCTCCCTTCTCCCTTCATTGAGAAGGCAAGCAATTTAATATAGGTTATACAAAATCATGTTTCTGTAGAAAGTAATAATATACTGGTAACTTAATTGAATTGAATATCATGATCATTCTTTACTAAATTCTTGACCTGTTTCATGCACGTTATCAATGAATATACAAAGTGTGATAGAGTTGAAAAATTCAATATGACCAATTCAAATTCACACTGGTGTTTTAGGGAAACACAAAGACCAATTTTCAGGTTATCAAAAAGTAAAAGATTTTCAAGTGTATCTAGCAAGCAAACATATTCTAGTAAGGCAAGACACACAGTTGGCTCCAGTCTAGATAAGATAGGTTGTGTGTCTTTATCAGTGTACGGTTAAATGAAATCACTTTAGTATTTTCATGGGATATTCAAAAAGTTTAATAAATGGGAAAGCTAATATGAAACCAGGATTTTACAGCATAATTTATCTTCTGAAAGAAATATGCAATAGTCAAAAGTGTTGCTACATACTAAAGATACTATTCTTAGTGAAGAAATAGCTAACTAAATGATCACTGCCAAACATTTAGGCCTGGGATCTTATTTTAAATTCTTGTCCTAACCCTTTTTACATTGAACCTCAAGATCCTCCTTTTTGTCCCCAAAATGTTCTAGTCTTTATCTTTCCAATTTCTTCATTTCCAAAAGCTTCTCTCTGTGATTCAGCATATTTTTTTTATGAATTCGGTAAAGCATTCATGTTAGGTCTCTTTGAGAAACATTTAAATCCTTTGGGTACTAAAGGGCTTTCTGCAATCTAAATGACATTACAAAAATAACATATATGCTCTAGGTGTTTTGAACCCCATGATCATTTTGTTTTCTACTCTCCTGCCTTGAATATTGGACTCTGTTCCTGGCTCCCTGGGTTCTGATAAGCAAACATTTTGCCTTATTGTGCCAGGTTGGGGCCTCAAAGAAACTCCGTGCAGCCACTTTACTGTATCCCTCCAGGTAGCTTCCACCTCCACTTAAAGCACTTCATTAGGATGTAAATTCCTTGAGGAGCATATACATCCACTTTTTACCCAGATATAAAAGAAATTTTGCGTGATAAAAGAGAGAAATCAAGGTAAATTCTGAGTTTGTACTACTTTCCAGGATCTGTAGGAACCAGGAAAGGTTGATGGAGAATTTTTTATTTCTGGCTCATGTTTTTCAGGTGTTTGTCAATGATAATAGCCATCTAATTCAAATGATGGGAAAGTGGTCTCTGAATTATTGAGTGGCACATAAATACAATGATGACTGGTACACAGCCCACATGCTCCACTGTTACCCTCCCAATGTCAGGAGAAAGGAAGAATGTGTACTTTGGGCAAAACGTACTGTGGTGAACTTTGGGGAGAACAAAGACATGATGAGTCCCAGAGGATGGACAAGCATGGATGTTATATATGTGTATTGTTGGTGGAAGCTCTTAAAATGATGAGATCATAGATATGGTTAAATATTTGAATGTACAATGGTAACATTTTATTATTAGTCCTAATAACAGCAGTAGTCCTAAGGGTTGAGCAACTATACAAATAAAATAGCAGAAGTAGTGGCTATGGTGGTGACACAGCAGTAGCACTAAACAACAGTCTATTTTAAATTCTATTTCTACTTAATTTCTATTTCTAATTTTAAAAAATGAAATTTCTTTTAAAAAGAAGAGCAGATGAAATTCATTTAAAACTTTTAAAGTTCAGCGAGATTTAAAATTAGCTGGTTCCATGGTTGGGATTTGAAGGCAAGATATGAAAACATGTTTTATTCCTCTACATAAAGTTTAACTATGCAATGCGAAGCTTCTAAATTTCCTTGTTTTTCATTAAATTGTTTGTTTTGTGAGTTTCTATCTTGCACCTAATACTTTTAAAAGAAATGGTACACATTTCCAGAATAAATACAAGAAGAAAGTTCGTAGAAGTCTTGAACTAATAGGTAAGAGTGAACAAACACCCATCAAACTGACTACTTTTATATTTGGGATTAAACAGAAACAACCCTCCTAATGTGTTGCCACTTAAATGAGAAAGAAGATTTTAAAACACCTGAAATTGAAATGTAAGTAACTCATCCCAATATATATGTATGGGACAACAAAGTGTATAATAAGCAAAAAGAGGGACTGAGGTCATGTGACATACCAGCTTCCCTGCGCCACCCCCCCCAGCATAACGTGCTTTCTACATGCCCTGTATCAGGTTGTACTATAAACTATTTCAAAGAAAGGAACTGGGAAAACTATCATTTATGGCCCTTCAATACGATGGAATAAATAAAGGAACATATCGATTATTTAGGAATTAGTTCTGATATGTTCACTACAAATGCATACATATGAAATAAAAAGAATCAGCTCTTTAAGTTATATAGAAATACAACCATAAAAAAACCATCATGTGGGCAAAATAAAGAACTCATTTCCACATTCAGTTATAGAAATATTAAATTTGGTTTCTATAGTTTCACTGAAGGGAATCGAAACAGATATGAAACATGGAGGTATCATCATGTTTATCAACCTCTCACCAGAACCTTGGACTCTGGAATGGCAGGCTCAGATATTAAGTTTTAGTCTTGTGAGGTCTGGAGAGAGGCTTTCATGACATTTCCTGGCTATTTCCATATCGCTTCACTCATTCCATCATTCACATTCCCCTTTCACTAAAACATGACTCTTCCTTTGGGATGCCAGCTCTGAGTGCTTGCACTTCATTTGCCCAAAAGTTGGCCTCCATATGGCTTCATAGCTAACTACACCATGCCATTGGGTACCTCTTCCTTAATAGCTCCCTTTTATATATTATATTTCCCCATTAAAAAGTTATTTGTCTGAGCACAGGGACTGTTTTACTTACTTCTATTGTATCGCTAGCCTTTAACAAAGTACGTGCTCATATCAAGCCTTCATACTAAATGCTTCATATACCAATATTTAATATCACTTACATGGTCTCATATTGAGAATGATCAATGTCAATTGAAACAAACTATTATGTGACTATACTTCAACAATGCATAAATTACCAAAAGCGACAATGAGTTCCAATAAACATATTTTTCAAATATTTCTGAGAATTTACTTCCTAAAGAGCTCATTATTTTGTTTATAATTTTTAGGTAGAAGTAAAGTTGATCTTACATGTACTTTTGAACAATACTTAATCTTTCTTCAAATTTGGGCAAAACAAAATGGGTGAGCCTATTTGCAAACAGGCATGTAAGCTTGTAATGTACCCTCCCATTAAAAAAAAATTGTTTTCTTGATTATATTATGAACTAAAGAAACAAAGCAAGCAATTCTATAGTAGAATAGAATAGAGGTAGTAGTACAGTAGAATAGAAAAAAAAAAA